ATCATCATCATCATCATCATCATCATCATCATCATCATCATCATCATCATCATCATCATCATCATCATCCACTGGGCCCTATAGCAACAGGAGATATATTATACAGAATCATGGAAGTGGAACATGGCCCCGATTTCGGAGGACCATGTTTCTCCACAAAGAGGTGGTTGTCCACGTAACCATGATCATTGCAAGGAGGTCATCTAGGACATGGTTTAAACACACGAAGCCAACTAGTTTGACATATAATGACCCATAGCAAGTGCAAACTGGACATGGATGTTGCTGTTTCAGAAAACATCCCCCCCTTCATCCACCTCATGTCCTCAATCCTCCCACCTCCCACCGAGGGCCTCCTTCGACGGCATCCATGCGGTGACCAGCTTGTGGCGGATCAGCTGGCTGGCCGAAACGGAGTCGCCGGTGGTACCGGGCGAACAGAAGGTGAAAGAGCTGAACTGTCGGGACACGTGGATCGCCCAGGCTGAAGTGGTTGGGGGGGTTGGAGATCTTTGTTGGGGGGGCCACCCCACAAAACAGTGAACAAGATGAGGTGGAAAAAAGGTTAACCGTTAACCTCTTCATGTTCCGGGAAAAGCAGAGGGAACCAGATGGAGAAGCATTGTGAGTAGCTCCTTCTGAGCTGACAACCTACGAAAGCCCATAGTTTGGGTGGCTTTCCATGATGCTTGATACTGCCCCTTAGACTTCTATTGCTGCTATGGCTACGTTCTTCCCATCCGAGCCTCCTCGTTGGCTCGGAGGTGGCTGGGATGGGGCCCATGGGCTGAGGGAACCTGAAACCTTGTTGTGTGCCCAGCACGGAGGAGAGAGAGAAAATAGGCGGCATGCCACTACGACCCAGTTCCGGTGGTTGCACCATGGAACATCGATCGTCAGGGGGTTCTTGGTCAGCACACCACCTGTTGGAAGGTTCTGCTTTTTTTCATCCCGTTCGCTTGCTTAGGCCAGTTCAAGCGCCAGCACACCACACACCTGTCCCTGGGCGCTGCGTCGCTTCCGGCTGGAGACGATGGGAGAGGAGGCACGGAGCGAGGTCGGGATCTCCAAAGAGCACGGACACACGGCGAACCTCTGGTTGGATTGAGTTTTTTCGTGCTGTTGGGTTTAGGGTTTGGGGTTGTTTTCACCAAGTCTTTTGGTGTTTTGATGTGTTTGGGTTTGCTTGCTTCATTGATGTGGCATGCGGCAGGCTTGTCATACTTTGCATCACTTTACGTCTCTTTTTACGTTGACGATTTAATGATCCATGACCATCCGGAAGCATTAATCATTAGTTGCTTTGAGACTGTGTGGGAAGTGCCTTGCAAATTCCCATCTCCCAGTTATTAAACATAGGTTTTGACCAGATGACCTCAGCTTGGGGGTGGGGCAGAAACTATTTCAACATCTCTTATATAAGGGGCCTAGCTTACACAATCAGGAGTCCTTTCACTTGCATGTGTCATCCATGGCGGCGCACTGAATTCCACGTCACCTGACTTCCGACTGCCCTTGCCTGCCAAGGACCCCCATGGGAATGGCTACTCCAAAGTGTTCAAGGAGGTGGCTTGACATGAAGAGAAAGGGTTCCGTCAAAGGGATAGCACTCTAGCCCAAACCAAGGCGCGGCAATACCACAATAATACAGCAACATTGGCGTGGCAGAAGGTCCTTGCTGACTTTGTAATATAGTTTTGTCAGCTTTACACATTAATTGCAGCATAGTTCCTGTGGCATTTTTTGATCCTTCCTCTTTATGCAAGCCCTGCCAAGTCCATCATATCCTGAAGGTCTTGGAGTTATGCCTCAGTTATGCCTGGGATTTATCTATCATGGGCCCATGGAAGGATCTTTTTCAGACTAGACTCCCCAAGCTTGGGGGATTTGCTTGTGCAGGTGGTCTTCTTTCCCACCCAGTGCAGGGGGGTCCTTGACCCGGAGCAACTGCTACATGTTCTTCTTCGGTCCAAGTGGTCCCAGTGAGCTGAGGGTCATGAAAAACCCGCTCAGACGAATGGGTGAGTGAGGTCCTTGAGACTTCGGGGGCTCGATTTCTTTTGCCAAGAGATT